AATTGACAAACGACTAGGAATCAAAATCGCCATCACTTAGCTCCACCCAGAGAACTTGAGCTTGAAGAAGAAGAAGAAGAAGAAGCAAAACTTTGACTGGAAAAAGTTTCGTAAGGCGATTGTTGACAGGAAGGGTAGAGCCACAGAAGAAGGGGAGGGAAAGCTTAGTTGCAAAACCGCAGAACAGAAGGTGAGAGTGAATGAACGATGAGAATAAGGGTTCGGGTTAAACGGTTAAGAATGGGTTAGGCTGGCTTGGGTTTGGTTGGGTAAAATTGAGTTAAGTTTAATTTTAATTAGATTGGGTTTGGGTTTAAAGGTTAAATTAAATTTAAAAATAAAATAAATTTAAATATTTTTTTATTTTTTGCGGAGACGAGGATTCCCAAGGAGACCCACAGTGCAAGGAAAATTCCTCGAGAAATTTCACGAGGGAAAAATGCCCCCAATTCTCGCCTTGTGGGGAGGAATATTCCTCCTCGCCTCGTCCCCATTGCGGGGATCCCTGCGAGGCTTCGTGGGAATCAAGGAAAATTGCCACCCCTACACTAGAGCCATTACTAATTCTTTGAAGTAAGCTGCATTATATTCTATTTAATATATATATTCAAAATTCAATCAATCTGGTTTTTAATCGATTAAATCATTGAAACCATGAACTAGAGGTCAAAACAATTCAACCTCTAGTTCGATTTTGAAAACAATGGTTAAAAGGCATTTTCAAAAGGCACAAACCACTGTTTTGAAAACCATATTGGATTGACCAATTGAACCAATCAGACTGGTACCCACAAATAGAAATGGATCAAGTTAGTACTTAAAACCGCTTAAGGGGTTAAACCACTTAAAACCATTCAAATCGTCCAAATCGATAAGAACCAATAAACCGACTGAGAGCCAACTATTTAGACAAAATTTACAAGGTTTGCTGCTGCCACTGGGTTTCAAACACGAGACCTCATGAGGTTTTGACCATTTCTTTACCACCAAAGCAATGGAACCCTTTATGAAATGAGTTACTTTCATGAGATTCGAACACTTGCCCTCTTGTATGTTTAGAATAACTTTTGCCACTTGATTTGAATCAAGTTTACTTACTTTTATTGCCTTGAGATATATTTATTATAATAGAATTATATAAACAAATAAATTTGACACATTTGAGATTCGAATTCTAGTTCTATACGAAATAAATAATGGTTCCCATCCACTAGAGTTGCTTCTAGTTTTTTGAAATAAAATGCATTACATTATATTTAATATATATCTTCAAAATTTAATCAACTTAATTTTTTACTCAGTTCAACAATTAAGATCATAAATTAAAAGTCAAAATGATTTGACCTCCAGTTCCATTTTAAAAATAATGACACAAACTAAAGCTTGGGGCTCATTGCCTATTTTCAAAAAATAATAATAATAATAATAACAATAACTAGAGCTTGGGGTCAGAAAATATCAACAGCTTAATTAC